AAGAAACATACTCAGAGCTTTTATGGAGAGGATATAGAACCATCGAATGAAATAAAAGAAGTGTTCAGTACATAGAGCCCTGGCTGGTGCAGTCCATCCAAGACCAAGACTCAGCTTCTAACTGAGAGGCTGGATGCTTGGAATGCAGAAGAAAGGCCTTGTGTTCTGTTTCTGAAAGGTCACAGCTCTGGACAAGCACCGAGAAGACACAGGGCTATGAGATGATGCCAGCATGTGTTGGAAATCAACTTGCCAGCACTGGTTTTTGTTTGCTTGCTTTAGTTTATTTTTATTTCAATGTTCCCTGTCTGGATGGGAAGATTATGGCATGTCATTCCTCTCCAAATTAATATAAGAATTCTAGGAATGCCAATGAAAATCTCAACAGATTTATAGATGTATTAGCGAAGACAAATGGAGCTTTTTTTTTAAAGTAGTTTATGTATAAAAATAAGACCTTGGCCATTTCCTGTGAGGTGTTTTTTATGGAATAGTGGGCAAGAGGGACTGTTTTTCAGGTTCAGCACATAACCACGTAGAAAATGATTTGGGTATATGACGGGCCTTCAAAGAGTGTATCGAACAATGGAATGAAGACCGCTTGGATGCACAAGTAATACGATGGATCTTATCCCACACGATCTCCCCCTCGGGCATGGGAACATGCAGTTTCTCTGGCGTGCTCAACCCCCCCCCTTGTTGTCCAGCACGTGCTGTTCCCCCAGCTTGCCCCCTCATCCGCTTTGACTGAGTCCTCATTGCCAAAACTCCTTTCTCATCCTTCAGATCTTGGTTTAAATTCTTCTCCCCCTGTGTCACCCTCCCTGCCTGGGCTTCTGCCCGGGGACCTGCCTCCACTGGAGCACAGAGGCTTCTCAGGTGCCCGATGACGCTGCTCTTTCTGTCTCCCGCAGGTGAGGGCGTTCAACGGTCAGCACTTTATTTTGGAGGAAGCAATTACAGGGGATTTTGCTCTGGTGAAAGCCTGGAAGGCCGACCAAGCCGGAAATGTGGTTTTCAGGTACTGCGATGGTCGTGAAAAGCATGAGAGCCGCTTCTACAGCAACTTTGCGTTTGTTTCTTCAATTAGGAAGACCCAACAGGAGCTCTTGGCGAATTTCCATTAAGCAGACCTTGTAAGCCTGGCGGAAGGCCAGCAAGGCCTACGCACCTAGGGGCCACCGCTCAGGGGTGTGTTCCCTCCCTGGTTCTGATTGGTTGGTGCCCATGTTCTGCTTGCTGGGCGCTCATTTTCACCCCGTCTCTGGTTCTATACGGATTATTTTTGCCCTGTGTATTTTAGTTGCCAATACCAGTTACAGTGTTGAGAATGCTTGGGAGACGGGACCAAGGCACAGAATTTTATTTAATTTTGATCTATTATTTTCATACCTTATCTTAGATTGTCAAATTTCTATGATATTTTTGTGAAGATCTTACTAATAAATAAGCAGGTATGTTTCCCCCCAGTCTTTTTGGCTTTTCCTAGGAAATGCTCATGAAAGTAGTTTCTGAGAAGTTGCTTAACTTTAATAATATACAAAACTGTTAGTTTCATATTTGATCATCCATAGCTTACCAGTATTTTGTATCTGAGTTTTATAGATAATTCAGTTTGTTTTTGAAAATTATGCCACCTTTGAGTTTCCCAAAATATTTGGTCTTAAAGACTTCACCTGTTAGACTGTAGAAGCAATTTTATTTCTTATATGTCATTTGAGCTTTAAATTAGAAACTTAAAAAAATACTTTATGAAATACAGTGTTGATGAGGTCACAATTAGAACACTCACGTGTAGTTTTTGTTTGTTTCTGAAGAGCTTGGATTTCTTTTTTCACAATTGTTTGATTTCTTTTTTCACAATTGTTATTTTTTTATTAATTGGGATTAATACGTATATCAAATCATTCTATAGTTCAATCATGTCCAGCAGAATTGTAAAGTTACTATATTTGCTTTCTTTAATGAAGTCAGTTTTTAAAACTGCAGCTAAGTTGTGTGGACAATTTAGAAGACAGTGTGCATCATGTCTGTCTTAGCATCGAGGTGTAATATTTATATTGCTTAATTGCTTTTTAATGGAATTTGTATTGTAGCAAATAGAAACAAATAACTTGAACTACTTGAACTTTTCCCATAATTAACCCAATGTTGCATTACCTGGCTCTTGTTTCTGAAGACAAGGGCTTCGTATGAGTGTAATGAGCACTAGCCATGGAAACCGTGTCAGGGGGAAACGAGAGCTTATATCACCAATGATTAAGTGGCTTAAGTTCTTAAGAAAACGACTTGTAAGACCACCCTCATGTTTAGTGAGATCATTGGTTAGTGGGATCCCTGTTTAGGCTGTTGCTAAACTTGGAAGGAGAAGCCTGCGTGGACTCCTCGGTCCTTGGAGTTTCTGATGTCGGGGCTCTGGTGGGAGCCGGAAACCTAGGAAAGAGGGAAGGGTCTGCAGCCTCAAGGACACACTGTCCTTGTACTAACTCGTGGATCTGAGTCAAAGGAAGGGCAGTGGAGGTGCAAAGCAACTAACCCGTCCCTGTCACTGATCTCCTTCTACCATAGACATTTTCCTATCAGTTCATACGTCTAGAGACACAAATATATCTCAAATTTTATGATTCGGGGCAGTGCATTCATTTGGGAACT